AAAAAAAAGAAAAAAAAGAAAAAAAAAGATATAGCATCTTCAAGCTCTTGGCATCCCTTACGAGAAAAAATTGGTTCTAAGGGTCTCTGATCTTGTGTTTTAGTAAAATAGAACTGCACGGCTGACTGACAGTTCTGATCTAAAGCATTTACGTTTAAGTTTTGATCTCTCTGCTTTTGATTAAAACTAATGAGCTCATTTAATTCAAAATGGGAATCTCTGATAAGAGAAATAAGGTTGATGTGATTGGATTAGAGGGGCAAATTAAACTCTTAGAGCAGAAGTTTGTGCTTATATAGTGTATTAAAAAGCTGTTGGCGTATTATGGCGTGTTAGATGATGAGAAAAATTTCATAGTAATTCATATTTAATCAGAAGAAATGAAAGTACTAAATATAACATGGCTCTGCTTTTCCCTCGAGTGATAAAGAGCTGTACATTTAAAATGACATCGAATTCATGCTCTCTGTAACAAAAAAATCTTAAGAGAGACACTAAAGAAAGGGGCACTGTTGTCAGTTATTTCATGACAATAGAGCTGAAATATCACAAATTCAAGACAAAGTGACCACAAAAATTCAAGGACAATTTGATATAATCCTCAGCTCACAAGCAAATTTTTGTGTTTCTTTTTGTCTATATAACAAAGGTTTTTAAATAATTTAATACTTTCTACTAGTCCTTTGGTCAGTCCTCCAAAACAATAGCCGAATAATTTCCAAATAACTTTATTATTCAGTGTCAATTACTCACTGAAACTGAAAGTTAGTTAGTCTCTAATAACGCTTCCTTATTGAAAGTTGCCCCAGAATTTTCCCATGAACAATGTTTTGGGAAGAGGTTGGTTATTAGGGCTAAAAATAGTGATAACAAGGATAATAAGGATAATAAGGACTGTATCAGTGCCAAATAGGGTTGCACCCACTATTTTATCATGGTTTATACTAGAAGTATTTATTTACTACTTTATCTGGTTGTAGCTGATGGGAGCGAAAAGCACAGGTGAGAGTTATAGTTTCAGTCAGGAGGTATCCTGTCAATTGGACTACAAAGATATTTAGTTAATGACTAATTACCAGTAAGTAACAACAATGATGGTGATGATGATGATGACGACAGTAATAATAATATGTGTCATTTACTCGAGCATTTTTGCCTTCAGGCTGCTCAGTGCTTTTTTTGGTAGCGATTAACCCTTGGTAATGGGGAAAACAAGGCACTCAAAGCCAGCAGTGACTCACCCTAGGTATCACTGCAAGTGAGGAGTGGGCACTAGGAGAAAAAACTGAACTTGCAGACAATTTCAGCAGATAGAGTTGCTACCTTGGTGAGATTTTGCCTCTCACAAAATGCTGAAGAACTTCTTGGGTTTTAAAACAATGTCATACTCTAACAAATTAACTCCAGACGTAACAAAATTGTGCAAGAAAGAGTTAATGAGTCAAATCTCTGTTAAAAATTCTTTGGGAAAATTACTTGAAAATGAAACTTACTAAGTATACGTATATTTTTCAATTTTTTTTTTGCTAAGTAAACATTTTCTAAATGAGGTAAATTGATTACAACACTCTTAGCATCCATCAGTCATTTATTTTTAGTGAGTTCAAGGATTGCACCTGAAAAATAGTTTAAAAGGGATGTATAAAATCTAAATTATGTATATATGTATTTTTTCTGTTCCCTAGTGGAATCTACAAGCCCCAGTTTACTAACCACTGACAACACCCTAGAGCGCTCTTTTTTCATCCGAATGAAATCTACACTGACCAAGCGAGGAGTGCACATCAAATCGTCAGGATACAAGGTAAGGGTTGTGTTGTAGCCTGAAATATTGACATTTTTAAATTATGTTCATATCTATTACAGGGACATATTAATAGACAGAGAAAGGAGCTGTTTTGCATTTTCATATGTCTCATTCCTTTTGTTAAAGAATCATTAATACTCCAGCCTGAGGTTTGGCTTTGGTACTCCACCTCCATTATATTGATTGTTACTATAATAAACATTGATGGTAACAGCACGGTAGCTTTCAAAAGAGCAACGCTTCCAGAGTAAATGTATACTTTTCCAAAGAAGGTGAGTCAGAGTAACATCACTTTTTGCATAGTGGAAAATCACTACTCGTTTTGTTAGACTGTTGGGTTATGTTTTTCCCAGAGGTAGGATTTCTTCATGCAGACAGTGCTATTTAATTTCGCTGCCATTCTGGCTGAAGGAAACACAATCCACAACGAGTACTTTTCCACCATTTTTCTTTCATTGTCTGTCTGAGGGGCATCTGCTGCTGGGGATCATATTTGCTGGATTTCAGAGTCTTTTAAGATATGAAAGTCTCTTGTTCCTTATCAGCAGTAATCTCATTTTTCTTCAGTCATGTATCGCTCATAGTGCCTGTAGCTATCAGTGGCTTTACAGTATACTAAAACTAGAAGGAATAGCACATTTTTAACTTTGTCAACTTGTGGAATGAAATATGTCATCCATTAAGAATTACACAAGATAAAAAAGTGGTGCAAGAAAATAAGCCTGAGAATGTGTGTGTATTTAAAGAAGTTGCTTGTCAATGTTCATTTTAAAACTTTTACAAGCATTTTTTTCACTTTTCAGAGGAAGTTATAAGGGAGTTTTGAAGTAAAATTCCCCAACTCACTTTTTCTTAAAAAAATGATCTGTGAATATAGCATCAAGGTATTCTATCTGAGCAGTAAAAATCTGGTAGAAATGTCTTTGCAAGCAAGTGGCTGGGAGTCCTTCTGCTGGATGGTTTCTGGGTGAAGATGATTAAAGCAGTTGCTAATGGAAACTTAAATCCATTGTCAACATCTGAAAGAATACTCTAGATACTTGTTCATGCTGACCAGTTTACAAGTCTCAGAATGTATCAAGACTAGTAAGTGTGCTGGTAGTCTCGGGAGGAGGAAGGCGGATGTATGAACAAATGGGCAGGTTGTTGCTGTTGTACTAATTTTCATGATTAGGCATGGTCTATCCAAGGTAATTTTTATGATTAGGCATGGTCCATCCAGGCTAGACCAATGTTAGATTTGCAGCAAACTTGCTTTGTTGAGATATTTTTGCTGCAATAGTAATGGGAAAAAAACAGATAATTTGTCTGTGGATTTTGTAGTCTTGAGAATTTTTGGTGAGAACAAAAGGAAGGCATATAAGTGACTCATCTTGGACATGTGACAGTCTAATGTTAGTCCAGCACAAGAGTAGAACATATCTAAAATGGGCTGGCTTTGCGAGGTGGGTTTTTTACTTCTTACAGTATAGTTTTTGAAATTCATAGTAGACCCTTTACTCAAACGAAAGACACAGTAATGTCAATATTAAAACCAGAATTTCATTCCTCTTAGACCTGCTAATGCCTTATGGAAACACTGAAAACCATAACTAAGATGTCGCATTCTGCAGAGCAAAATGAATTTTGAAAGATCAGATATCATTTTTTAGCCAGCTTTTCCTAGACACAAAGAATATATAAAAGGAAAAAGTATGGTAGTCAACAAAACTGTCTGTAAATTATACATTAGGGGTTTTTTCCAAATTTTTCAATGAGGCATCAGCAAGTCAGCATGAGTAAAATTGCATAAACAGCATACAAGTCCTGGGCAGGTGTAAATATAGAGGTGTAGTTTTTTTGATGTTTTGAAGATTTTTAACTGACAGTGTTTGCCTGAAGTGAGCTGTGTTCAGCCATATGAATTGTTTTTGACAGTTTTTCAAAAGTGTGGTTATTGGCACTCTGTGCCAATTATCCAAAGCCTCAGTGAGACCCAGAAAAATTGTGTATTCATTTTTGAAGGGTTGGATCACGTGAATTTCTTTTTTACCGAGTGTTAAGAAGTGCTTTGTGTAAACATCATTTTCAGCTGGTGTTAGACAAGTATAATAAAACTCAACTGCTATGGTGAATGTCACTCACATTTTTAGGAATGTTACCAATTTATTCATTGATTTCTAAAAGTCCAGTGCCAGAACAAACTTAAAGCTTCTGGAATTTCTTCAGGTATATATTTTAATAAAATTAAGAAAGAACCATGAGCCTCATGGATGTACAACTATAACAAATTATCAAAGGGAGGAATAGTTACATAAAATTGACAAACTCATGGGAAGAGCTGGTTAAATTCTGCCTCAGAGATCTCTGGAAGACTTCCAGTATTTACTCAGGAAACACTATGTCAGTTGGGGTCACGTGCAGCAAAGTTCCTCTGGGAAATCCTAGTGGAGCAGGCTGATGTGTCTTGTTGCAAAGTCTTACTGAGCTCAGAACCACATCTCCATTATTTTCCTTGCTTGGAGGACTGCTGATGAATGTTTTCTTCAAGTAGGAAATAATTGAGGTGGTCCACAAGATGCTTAGCCAATTTTCAGAATGAGCGATCCCGGCCTCAGGAAAATCACGTAAAATTGAAAACACTCAGAGAATGAGATTGAGTAATCATTTGGGTTGATCTAGTTGGGACTAATTTTCTATCAAAAGAGATGTTGTAGTAAAAATCACTGATAGACTTCCACGTATATATACCTTAAAGATACCCAGTTCCAGACTGTTCTGATATGAGATCAACCTTGTTTATAGTCCCTTCCTGAAATGATTTAATTAATCTTGAATTATGTGTAAAGATAGCGGTAATAGCCTTTTTTTCATTAATTATGTTACCTTAAAAATCTGAAACGGGCAAGTGGTTACATGGTTAATCCTTCATCTCTCCTCCCCCTTCATGGTTCCCTAGCACCCTCCTTGAACTAGATTTTCCCATTCTTAGTATTCTTAGGCTCTACAATCTTAAAAAAAAGTCAAAAAAAATGTAGTCAGCTGATAAAACACATTGAGAACAAATAAAAAGAGAAAAAGATAATTCCATTCACTGCAAAATTCAGAATGTATTACCACTACAGCTGTTGTCTAAGATGCATGATGCAGAGACTTCTTATTTTTCTCTGCTGAAATGTTCAAATTGTTTAGAAGAATAAACATTTTTTGAGACTGTGCTCTCAGATTTTTTATTTAAAATCATAAAGTTAGAATTCTTTGAATGATAATTTTGAAGATAGATATCTAAATTTGTTGAAATTTTATGTTCATCACAGTTCTATTATCATCCTTTTTCAAATTATTCATGCATTTATTCACAATTTAAAATTAATGGTTTTAATTATTTTTTTTTAGAAGAAATTGAGGAGTTGGGCAAGATTTATCAATCTCGTTTGTGCACTTGAAGTAATTGCAGTTTTGGGCAGAATTTTTGTTTGTTATTCCAAGAAAGCATGAAAGCCAAAAAACTCTAAAACTCTATTAGACAAAACTATGCCATTGCACTTGCCTTGTGATACCATCCTCTTGATTCAATCCAAAGCTTAAAACATTGTTTCCCATTAAAGTGAAAAATTCACCTGGAATTCAGAAACAAGATGTCACTGTTACAAAATCCCTTTAAAGGCCAATATATCATGGGCTGGTTAAGAACACAGCAGAAAGCCAGCTTCCATTTCAGGGAAATAGAAAGGAGGAAGAAAGAGAAGGCAGCTATTTTTTTGGCATAATAGTCTAATGATTAGTACATTTCTTAGGTATGGGCTATGTTGTAGTCAGATTTAATTCCCTCCTCAGCCTGAGGATATTCACATATCCCACTTTCCAGCTTGGCCTAAATTCTTTTCTCCTAATATTTTTCCCCCTTGAAATCTTTTCTGTCAAGCATTTTACTCTGTCCTGGAAAGGTATCCTGACCTTTGTCTGTAGGAAGAGAGAAAACTGCAGAATTTAGTATTTCATCACATGGCTACTGCCACACCTCCTTAATTGAGGTGGAATAAGAAGGAATAAGAAACCAACATCAGGAAGCATTATGTGAAGAGTTTTCTAAATGTCAGCACATGCATTCCCCAGACTTTTCAGCACTGGGAAGACTTAAAGGTAATTTGTCAGAGAGAAAGAACTGATCGAGAATTCACCCATGTAAATCGATGACCTTTTAGTCAAAAGGAAGTCTCTTAGCTAGTAAAGATGCAGCATTACTTATAAAAGAACAAAATACTAATGGGCCAATCTGAGTCTTATGAAGTATCTACTTGTAGATATAAAGATACGGTTCAAGAAAAGACTATCTGCAACAGGATTAAGAAGACTAGAGTTCATTTTATGCCTTGCTATAGAGCTGTGAGATTCTATTAGGAGAGCTGTCTGAAAAAGCTTGGTTCACACTCAGCATCTAAATACATTAACCAATTTTTTTTAAAGTGTTCAACAGCTACTAACTCCACTTCCTCAAAAAACATTTTCAGGGCTGAATATCTTTTAAACAGAATTTATAGCACTTTTCTACCATTTGGAGACATGAATGTATGTTACGCATTCATTACTGCAGTAGCACTAATGTAATTAACCTGTTAGTATGATATAAAAAACCTTTTTAACAGCAGTCTTCTTTAAAAGAGAGATTCAGACTTTGATCATTCCTCATGGTAACTGCAGATATAGTATTCCTGACGCAGCTATAGTATTCCTGACGCTTGTATCAGGATGTATTTCTTCTCAAATAGTCTTAAATGTTCATCTGGCTTCGGAGTTGTGATTTTGTTGCAGCATAATCCAAGCTATGTAAGTGGGAAATCACAAACTGGATTCTAAAATGAAAGAAAACATAAAACCTAATTCTGAAGGTACCTTTATTAAAAGTCACTGGACATAACAGTGAAAGGAAACTACGAGATCAGGATTTACTCCTCTACATAATAAAATATCAAAAATATAGAGAGATCAGCTCCAAGCCAAATCTGGTACTCTTCCAA